AACATAAAGCCAATTTACGTGAAAAACAGGTATAACAAACACAACAAGCAAAGAAACAGAATCAAATATGTTTATTTTTCCAATCTTATCAATCTTAGAAGTTGAACCATTTGGATGATCGACTCTGAGATTTAACTTGGAAGCATCAACAATATCATAAAGTTGTGGCTCATTGGTTGTCATATGTTGACTAGCACCAGACTCAACAATCTAACTTATATTTTTAGGAAAAACGCTGTTATAAACAATACACGCCATATTAACAATTCTATTGATCCATCTTGTCACCAGAGGAAGATGAAAAACAAGGAGTGTCACTAACATGAGAGGAAACAATATGAGAACTCATAGAAGATTTCTTAAACTCGGTTTTTAGGTTGAAATCTTTAGGATAATCTATCAGTTTGTAGCATTTTTTAATACTATGTCCTTTAATACCACAATGTTTGCATTAAAGACCTTGACTCTTTCCTTTAAACCTTTTATTATCATTTAATTTACCAATACAACCAGAAGACTAAATATTATGTGAAATATTAGAAACAAACCCTTATTTTTTATTTGACTCTTCTCTACAAACAATAGAGAATGCAACCTTCACATTAGGTTAAGGTTCCATACTCAAAATATGACTTTTAACCTGATTAAATGACTCATCAAGACCACTTAAGAATTGCATTAAATTCATGATTTTAAATGATTATTAAACTGTGTAGTAGCTTTACAAACACATTCAATCCAATTAGTTAATCCATCGAATTCCTTCCACAGACTATCAAGTTTGTTATAGTAATAAGACATAAACAACCTACTCTAAGTAAAAGAATTGTTGTGTTGATGCAAATTGAAAACAACAGACCCATCAGACTTATAGTAAGTATCACATAATTCAATCCATATATCAAGAGCAAATTCAGAACAAGAATGTCCAATATAAATGGACTCAAACACCGAGTTAAAAACCGAAGAACACACAATAGCATTAACACGATCCCACTTAAGAGACTTAACATGATCCTTCTTATCTTTAGCTTCAGTTCCATTAATAAAACCATTTTTATTCCTAGATTTTAATTCTCTAGTCATAGAACTCTTTCAGATTTTAAAGTTTTCAGTACCTAGAAGCTTGAAATTAATGATAGTAGTAACACTATTATCAGATTAATGCAAGTAAAGAGGATCATCAAAATCAATAGTTTCAATTTTATTAGAGGACTCTCCTGTTTCTATGTTCCAGTAATGATAAGAAGACTACGAAGTCAACACAAGATGAATTAGGAATATGAGAGGCTAACACTAGAAGGTTAATAGAAAATTTTCTATAATTTAACTCAAATTCATAGTCATATGAGACTAGAGTAGAGTGAATTACAAACGAAAACCAACAGTATCAAGAAGATAGCTAATAGATCAATCTCAAAGGAACAACCATAAACAAGCAGAACACAATTCGAGAGAAATACAACAACTCAAACAAACACCAAGATAATTAACCTAAAGAAATGATGAATAAACGTGTGAACAACTTACAGTGATCCACAAAAAAATTCGCAACTGCAAACCGAAATGTAGTTTCGATAGATCTAAAGAAAGATCTACCACTAAAGAAGTAGGGCATTCAAATTCTAGTAACCAAATTTGTTAATAGTTTCTTATATGCACTCCTCTTAACGTTGACCGAAAGTTGATGTTGGTTGTTAGGTTTAACAACGGTTAACCTTAAATGTTTTTGTCAACCAAACATTTACTCTTAAGAGACGGTGACAAGAACTATCAAATATGATCAATCACCAAACAAACTCAAGATCTGATATCATATCTGAGAGAGAAGAAAGGACTAATCCAGAACAAATCAACTAAGATGATTGAAACACCAAACCCTTACAAGAAATTTGGGTCTTTACCCACACATCTTATGTGTTGGTAGAAGCCTATTATATGTTGGTAACTGTATTTACCAACACATAAATTAAGTGTAATCATGTGTTGGCTCATGACTATAGATATAGATATTTATCTACACATACATTATGTATGGGTATAGAGTTATTTATACATACACATGCACGTGTGGATAAAACTAATAAATATGTGTGGATAGAAGTATTCTAAGTTATTTGAAAGATGACATGGAAAATGACATGGTCAATGACATGGACGATGATGTGGCCGATGTTATGGACAATGACGTGTCAAGTTATGTGGGATGTCCATACAAAAATGTTTGTGACATATGTCAATAAATATGTGTAGGTAAAGATCTTTGTATGCGTAGATAAAACAATTATGTATGGTTTACATGTGTAGGAAAACTTACATATAAAATATGTCAATTATCAAAGGCAAATTAGATACAAATTACGATAATTAACATCATTAAAGATTAAAATAACAACAAATAACAAATGTTACATTTTCGGTACACATTGGAAACATCAACAAAGATGTCTGCATAATTCAACTCTTTTACATACAAAGTACACAATTAATCTCGAATATTGAATCAATAAAAGAAGAATAATATCTGATAGAAAAATATCTTATTGCAAGTCTTGTAAACATTTGAACTCATAGTAATTAGGTGCACTGAGTTGATCAAGTGACAACAAAATCTTCAACACAATCTTCTCATGCCAACCAGTTGAGGTTTTCTTCTTGGTATTCAGATATATGTTTTGCTTTCGAATATTCAGCATTGCGCAATGACAGGTTACTGAATCAGCTTGAGACCTGAAGCATTCAAAAGATCCATATAATAAACCAAAAAATTGTTAATAGTTACTTTTGTAATTAGTGCCCAATTATAGCTTTTTGACATAAGTATTCATGAAGTAGTCTAAAATAAATAAATGTGTATGCATATGACTAATTAACTGACAAGCCTCAACATGCTAAAATTTTGGCTTTACAACTTCAAATGACCATGCATTCAGTTATATACAACAAAAATTGGGAAGATAAAAAGTTAAGACTACTATTGCTATAAAGAAGTTTTTATATTTTGTAAGCATATTATCTTCCAAAATTAGGTAAATAAGAACAATTGACAATGACTTGTGTAGGGTACACAAGAACAATTGGCAATTGCTCCTGTAGGAACCGGTTCGAGCAGACAACAACTCTAAAAAATAACAAGCAGAACTTAAACCATTCTAAATTGGTTAATAACCATGGAACTGGAAACCAATGATATCACATTTGGTTCTAGAATCGGGACTAGTAATATCGGTTTCGATTCTGAAACCAACAGTTGAGGACAGGTTCAAATTTTGGTTCCAGGTATCCAGTTCGGATGCAAGCTTACCTCTATACATGATATATATATATACATTGGGATTTTAGGCTTATCACAAAATAACAACAATTAGTAGCTACGTTAAAACATTATTCACAATGGATACCTAAAAGTAATAACAAATGACTAAATATACCAACAAAGAAAATAAATAAGCTCTTATCATGCTTGTGTCACTCTCTTGGTAAATCTTTTCCACTTTTCAGAACCTATAAAAAGTAGAGTATAGTAACCATCAATGAAAAACATTACATACATAACAGTGGAAAGTGGAAACCCTTGGAAAGATTATGCATATCCCTATTTGTCATCAAACTTGTAGAGTGATTCGTGGACATACAATCGAACAAAAAAATCGGTTTCATCTATGTCTAGAGGATCCAAAACCGTTTAAAGCTTTAAACGATATTAATCTTAATATCTAATTAGTCTTAAAATAGAAAAAGGAGATACAAATCATAGAAAAATAGAAGAAAGTAGGGCTAGAGGAGGGAGTGAAATACAACGTGAATATCAATTGAATAATCAACTCCTAGTCACATAGATCATCCATGTAGTAGACAATCAAGTTCCGTAGGCTAATTTGATATAAGTCAAAAACCTGAAATCACGATGATGTGTTTTAGAGAACGAGAAGAAATATATGCAACAAATGAACTTTCGTTCTAGATTCACCATCATGGAATTATTTTTGTCCTGAATCTCTACACTGAGTTTAAACAAACAAGCAAACAAAAGGAATATCAAATGGTTTAATCAGAAAACATATTAATTTAAAATATATGGTAGAAAACTAAAGAAAATACAAGCTAATGGTAGTTACAGGGGTGAAGGAGATTCACGAAGAAACGGTTGATAACATGGATGCCATCGCTAAGACTATTAGGTATGGGCCCGTTTTGGTGGTGTTATAAACAAGAAGCAACAAGAAGAGGGGTGGTGTTCATGGTATTATAACACCCGTTAAGAGGAGATATATATATATATATATATATAGAGAGAGAGAGAGAGAGAGAGATAATTTATGCAGCCAATAGTTGATCTCGTTTCATCCGGTCATTGAGACAACAAGAAGCAACACAACAAGATACAACAAAAAAGGGGGCGGTGTTTTTGATGTTATCACGGCGTTATGGGCTGCCACATCAGCCTTAACGGCGTTGTGGTGACCCATACCACTTGGTCTAAGATGAGGCGTGGTAAGTGGTAACGCAAGGGTTCACATTGGGAATAGATTTTGGGTTTAGTTGTATGAAATATCTGAAATAAATATGGAGAATTAGTTGGAGCCTGGAGGGAATTATAAAACGAAAAAAAAAATAAGGGTAAATGTCATATTAACCCATCAAACTTATTGTGTTTGTTTTAAAAGGTCACTAAACTATTTTTTGCACTTTAATGGAATAAACTTACATTTCTCTGTTTTAAAATACCCTTATGTTTCCTGAAATCGGGTTCAAAGGTAATATACATGTTAGGAAGGGTTTGACTGTCATGTCAACATCCACCAGATTTATTATTATTATTTTGTTCATGAAACTTTCTTTGGTCATGTTCATTATGAAACCCAGTATTATTCATATTGTTCGTAGAACATTCAAACACCATCACCTTAAACCACCGTCTGCCACCTTATATCACCATCTACAACCACCATCATGATTTCCCTTTCATCTTCTTCAGATAAAAATTTACACATAAAATATCATTTACCAGCAAAAGTATCTTCCAAACAACATGCTCCTGAAAAAGTCACCTTTAATACCCTTTCTTCATCTCCGACCCTTCAAACGTACAACAAGATTTTCAACACAACCAATAACAACAAACAAAAAATTTTAAAAGGGTATCTCCTCTATTTCTATCTATAGACAAAATCATCCCCAATTCTCAATTGTCAAATCCAAATTCAGTTGAGAGTCAAACCCAAAAGATTACGTTTACTGTTGTGAAGAAATCTAAGATAATTAGGGGATAAATGATGTACTTGTGCAAAAAATAGTGGATAGGATGAAATATCGTCAGGGTAATCAATAGTCGAAGTAAGGCAGCAGATTCTGGTGATGACGTGAACTCGCCAAAGGTATCCAATGTGGAATCCAACTTCGCCTCTATGAATAGAACTCCCTCTATGTTACAGTTAATCACGATTTTGTCGATCTCATCTCTATCCAATCTCCCTGCAATGGGTTCTGAAGAAGGAATAGTGGACGATTTCTTTATATTGATCTTCATCATCATCTTTGGATCACTTCCATGGTGAAATTGAATGGAAATGGAGATGGGTTTAAGAAATTACACACACAAATATGTGTGATTAGAGGAAAGAATGAAGAATGTAATTAGATGTGTAGAGAGGAAAGGAAAGAAGGAGATAATGGTTTTAAAGAGACGTAGATCAGAGTAAAATGGCAAGTCAAACTTGGCAACCTATAAACTTAGGTAAAATGGCGTAATTAACAGCTTACCAACAAGTTTAGTGACCAATTGCGCAGAAAAATAACTTTGGTGACTAAATCAGACAACCGTGAAAAGTTCATTGGGTTAATATGACATTTACCCAAAAATTAAGGGGGAAAGATGGAGGGAAAAAATTGAAAAATAATTTAAACAGAGTGGATGATGAGTAGGATCATACCTTAATCCACGATGCAAATTTCAAAATCCTAATCTAATTTGTTTTCTACGTCATTTTTCTCTATTTTAATAAAGTTAAATCATTTTTACCTTATGTGTAGGTTATATATATACTACCTATACATATATTATAGGGAAAATGACTTATTAAAGTAATTAACTTTTCGATATGTTCACATCAAGGTAACTATCTTTGTTTTGTACACATCTAGGTAACAAACTTGTTGGAAGTGTTCACATAAGACCATTATGACTTCTTGCTATAGCAGGTTAAATCCTAGATGTGAACATTTTCAACAAGTTCGTTACCTAGATGTGTACAAATAAAATAGTTACCCAAATATGAACAAACGAAAAGTAAAAATAAATTACACAAATGGTCCTTATGGTTAGGGAGAATTTGTGTTTTTGGTCCCTAACTTATTTTTTTTAACTCGGATGGTCCCTACTGGTTATTTTTGTTGCGCGTTTGGTCCCTGTCATACCTAAAAAGGCTATTGTGCCCTTATTAATTTATTTTTTAATTAATTTTCTTATTTATGTATTTATTTTATATATTTAAAAAAATTAATAGATCCCACATATTTGTATCTCCTCACCGTAAACCTGAAACCATATTTGAGAAATTTAATTTGGGTCTTACCAGTCACCATCCCATCTCTCATCCTCCCCAACTTCTATTTCTTTTTCCATCTTTAGTAACATCGACGTCTTCACCATCCTTCTTTTTTTGGTACTTCAACTCTGGCGAACCAACACCATAACCTACTGTCTCTTCATCTTTAGTGGGTTGTGGTGTTGATTCGACGGAGTAGAAGGACAGGAAAAAAAAGGGATGATGAAGACGTCGATATCACTAAAGATGGAAAATAAATAGAAGTTGAGGAGGATGAGAGATATGATGGTGAGGAGACACAGATATGTGGGGTCTACTAATTTTTCATAAATATATAAAGAATAAATATATAAAGAATAAATACATAAATAAGAAAATTAATTAGAAAAAATAAATTAATAATGGCACAATAGTCTTTTTAAGTAAGACAGGGACCAAACGCGCAACAAAAATAAACAGTAGGGACCATCCAAGTTAAAAAAAATAAGTTAGGGACCAAAAACACAAATTCCCTCAAACCACAGGGACCATTCGAGTAATTTACTTTTACTTTTCGTTTTGTTCATATTTGGGTAACTATTTTTTTTACACATTTAGGTAACGAACTTGTTGAAAGCGTTCACATCTACAATTTAACCTGCTATAGCAGGTAATAATGGTCATATGTGAACACTTCCAACAAGTTTGTTACCTAGATGTGTACAAAAAAAGATAGGTACCTAGATGTGAACATATCGAAAAGTTAATTACCTTAATAAGTCATTTTCCCTATATTATACTTTTAAATATTAAATACATGTGAATTAAAGTACACTGAGTCAAAATATAGTTAGACCAAAATTTGGTTATCTTACGTACGATAATTGCACATTTCATTAACATGTAAATATTATATATTGGTGAAAAAGTTAACGATTTTTCCAACCATACATTTAATTTTCAAATATGTGTCGGCAGTAAACTTTCCACGTCATTTATATAAAAATAAAATAATTATTATTACTTTATTTAACTACACATTCATATAAAAAAATAATATGTGTTGGTAAAAATTAACAAATTATCAACACAAGTATTTATTTTTTAAGTTTGTGTGGGTAATTTACCTACACATTAATAAAATTTGTTACATGCGTGGGTAAAAAACTTGTTATGAATGACCATATTTTTAGTAAAATTTTCGCACCAAAATAAAAGTATCAATTAAAAAGTATTATCTACAGAACATAAGTGTTGACAATCACTAAAACCTATTATTTTCAGTTATCTACACATATAAAAATATGAGTGGGTATTTTCCCACACATTAACATGTGTGGGTAACTTATGTGTAGGTAAATACCTTAATTTCTTGTAAGCATAAACCCGTAAAACCCTAGAGCAGCCTAGAAACCTAGATAAGAAACCCTAAACCAGACAACGGTGAAAGACACGAAACCCTAAACAGTCAAATGTGGCTCTAATACCATCTCAAAACACAAATAAATTCACAACATCAATAGTTCTTTTATTATGAACGAAGAACCAGTTGGTTTTCAACCTACTTACAACTAAAACCTGTAAGTCCCTAATCTGCTTGTGTATCAATCAGATCCGTTTGATGGTGCGGAATCCCAATCAAACGGATGATGTCAGATCAAATAGAAGAGAAGGAGAAGAAGAATAATATGAATCTTGTATGTATTGATATGAATGAAGATCCGGATACAAGATTCACACACACTAACACACACTCTCTTTTCTCTCTCTCTAGAACACCTTCAAATGCACACACTTAAGCTCCTCTATTCTATGTGTTCATTCTTCACATGCACTCCTCACCTTATATATATATATATATATATATATATATATATATATATATATATATATATATATGGACCTAAGGCCAAGCCCAAAATACAAATAATCCAATGCTCGGTCCAAGCTACGATTAATCCTATACTATTTTTGGCGCAAATAATAAAAACAATAAATGCTTAGAAAAGCAAAGTATAAACCATATTTTTGACCCAACAATCTCCCCCTTGGTTTATAGCTTTCTTTTCTTTTCTTAAATGACCCAACAAGCTCCCCCTAAAAAATAGCTGGCTTTCTTGTTCATCTTCATTGTAAGCTTGGCTTCAGCATTTATCTTCAAATTCTTCACAACTTCAAGATGAACTTGATGAATCTTTAATGAACGACTTCATCTTGAGCACTTGGGCATTTCTTCAAAATTTGGCTTTGAACGCACATTGGGTGAGGAGGCTTGACGTACTGATTCTTGAAAGATAGCGCTTTCAGTTTGAGAATCTTCAGAGAGAACATCAGAGAGAACAAATCTTCTGCATCACTTCAGCAGGTTCATAGATAGCAGCAGACTGATTGAGTAGGCTTCAATGCAATCTGTCACCTAATCTTCAAGTGCAGCTTCACCTTGCTTCTGGGGTTGAAAGATTGAATGTCGAAAGAATAATCTTCATTTCTTGCTCCTTCGAATGAGAATTCTTCGATGATCACGGATGAAGCCTTGGCTCAGAAATCTTCGACACAAACTCCATGAGTTTCATCTTCACCTGAATTCACTTTTCAAGACAAAACAAAACTAAAAGAAAATTTAGCACACAATATTATTATTATTTTTTTTGTCTTTTTTTTTGCCTGAAACTGTCCAAATCGCGCATACGTTCCCTACTATGCACATGGGTGGCATAACGCGCCAAGAGGGAGGTACTTCAAATGAAACCCCTCAAGGTCACGTTCAGACCATGGTGACTGGAACGCGCAGAAGGCCAAGAATCAAACCCACAAGGCCAAGAATCTGAATCCCAAGAACAAGAAGGGAATGCCGGCCAAGAAGCCAAATCCAAGAGATGCTCCCGTGAAGCCAAAATCAAAGTCATCTCAACGGCCGACATCAAGATCAAAAGCAAGTACTGAGCCACCCATCAGATCTAAAAAGAAATGGGTTAAACCCAACTACAAATGGGTTCCAAAGGCTCACTCTCCCAAATCAACTGATGACTCTAATATTTCTTCATCTTCTGTTTGTGATAAACAGGATATGTCATGGGAGAGAGTACCGTGCAAGGATGACAAAGGTCGACCCAGTTTCAAAATGGACTGGGTTCCAAAGACCAACTGATCCCGCTCTGTGTCGGAGCAGCTATGGAGGCATATCATCAGACTTCGGTTTGTTGGTAGTGGTTGTTCCTGGCACATGATAGGAGACATCTCTCAACTGTAAAACACTCAGAACATTGTTTGGGAGTATGTGTCCTTTGCGGGAAAGGAAGAAAGGAAGAGATCACAAACGGGGTTAGTGCTTAATGACATGAAGAATTTTCGGATTTGTTTTTAGATTACGCGTGTTGTTCTCAGACCTTCTGGATGCAAATTCAATCGGTGACTTACGGTTTGAGTTTTCTTCTATATACTCCTGAGTTTTTCTTAAGCTGATTCGCTTTAAAGACTAATTTTTGTTTTAGGATAGTTTAAATTTACGCATTTACTTTCGTTTCTCTCCTCTGCACAAATTTAGGGGGAGAAATAAAAACAAAAGAAAAATTAGAAAGTTTTAAAAAATCCAAAAACATTAAAAAAATCAGAAAATCCAAAAAATATGTTGGTTATGGAATGTGCTTGCAGGTGATGTGATGGGAAGTGATATAATCATGTGATAACAGACAATCTGAATCTGTGTAAGGGACTGAATCTGAATTGTCTAGGCTCTGTGTTCGATGCGCTGGTAGGCACGAAAGATTAAAATGGACTTGACTAGGCATTAATGAACTTAAGGAATCTAGAGATTTGAAAAATCTTGACCTAGATAGATCCATTTAGCCTGACAATACGACGCTCATATAGGTTGAGCAGGGAGATATACATGATAATCCACCGGTCACATTAAAGTTATCTGTATCTAGAACTGTGGTTTAACTCTTCCTCGATGTACGGACTTTGTCCTTAATTCCGGTATTGATGGGGCAACTGGGGAATTCGGATA